TTATAATAGTTGATGAAAATAAACCGGGCAAATTAAATAAAAAATTTAAATTGGCGAATAATGTAGAAGCGTAGGTTAATATTGGTAAAATAGCCTATAAATTTGAACATTAAAGAGAAGGGCTGGGGCTGTATTCTAAAAATGAGTAGTTTCCTAAATCCTCGAGATCAACCTACCGTATATCCTTTACTAACCACCCTGGGTAATTATTGTTTTGACCTTCCGCTGGAGGGAGTAATAAATCGAGAGTGGGTAATTATATGAAGTTTGAAATTTCAACGTGTTTTAGGGCCTTTGTTTGGGTGTAATTATTGTTTCAATCTATCGCTGGATGGGGTAATTATTTAAAGGAGGGCATTTAATACAGGTTATACGGTATATCCCACTTAATCCCTCCACATCCTCAGTACTTGAGGATTTGGTAAATTTTTCAAGATTCAATCGAATATCCGACAATTTCTTGGCCAATTATCTATTCGAAAATGGATAATTTACAATTCGACTCTAAATTATGTGACCAATACTAGGTTATATGTGCATTACCTGGGTACATCCCAAAACGGCGCGCGGCCATAACGGCGCAAAGCCATAACTTGGTGCAAAATGTCTGGCCCTTATCAATTTTGGTACGAATCTCCTTAGCTCGATGAGAGGAATCGTTTAAACTAAACTCGTTAAGATTAGGAAATCTTGAAGCAAGTTATGGCCTTGCGCCGTTATGGCCGCGCGCCGTTTTGGGTATGTCCCACATTACCTGTGCCCCCAAAGCAATACTTAATTGTTTATTCATATTACGTATTCGAGTCATTTCTACACCTTTGCAATAACGATAAACATGTATTTGAATACTTATACCACAAAAAATAATTATTATATAATTAATTATAGTTAATGCTGAAGCATAATTTGAAATAAAAATTGATAGATTGTTTGTCTAAATATGTTAAGTATAAAATTTTAATGACATTTGGGGTTGTTAGAGGTGATCTATGGAGAAGGAAATTCTCCGAGGAAAGTGGAGGTTTCTCAGGGTGGAGGTGGAGGTCTCCACGTGGAGGTGGAGGTCTCCACGCCCCCCCCCCCCCCCGCTTCAAAATCTGCGCAAAAAATTTAGCAAATTCCCCCCCCCCCCCTCCTCGTCAGGAAACAAATCTACATACAACTTACTCTTACTCTGAGTCCAACAACATAATTATTAATTGTATAATTATCCAATTCTAATAGTTTCGTCACATTATAATTTGTTAAATATTCATTTTCTGAAGTTGGAGAGTTTGATATAGAAGAACAAATATTTAAAATTAGTAATGGAATTATTGAACCAAAAATTAACAATAATTGGTGTTTAAATTTAATATCAACTTCGCTACAACAAAACATTTTAATTAAGACATTTTAAAGACATTTTACCGTACAACCACTAAATAACGATAAATAAATAATGTACAGACATTCATTGAGCTAAATCTTGCCATAAAATTGTTAATACGGAGAAGTATAAATTGCCAAGGATTTGGTAGGAAATGTATAGGTCCGTAATTCCAAGTTGTACCGATACCATTATCAGACACAAAAACCTATTTTTAAAAAAATAAATTAATTTTATTTTAAGTAGATGTCCTATTTAGGCGGATAACACGGGTAGTCACGCCAAAAAGTTTCGGCGCCCAAATATTTACCGGTTGAGAAACAACAAACATACAAATCCCAACAATATCAACAAAACAAGTTTGTAAAAGTATTTTGCTATAAACTTGCATTTCCTTCATCGTAAATATAACGTAAAATTAGCCAAATTAAAAACAAATTGGAAAACAATCCAAATGTTGCAAAACAATAAATTATTGTTGAATAGATTTCTCCAATTAACATTTTTTTCTTAAAAGAATTTTTCAAATGTTCGAAACTTTTTTTTAATTGTAAAACATGTTTTACAATTGTTAAAAATATTATTAAAACATATGTTTTTTCCAAACATTTTTTTAACAAACATTAAAACATGCAGTAAAACATAATATGTTTAACAACATTATTAATTTGTTTTACTGAATGTTTTGATATTTTTAAATGTTTGGGAAAAACATATGTTTTAATATCATTTTAAGCAATTGTAAAACATGTTGTAATGTTCAGATTAAAGACAAACATGTTTTTTTAATAAATCAATGTTTGTAAAAGTTTTTATGTTTTAATCGATGTTTTAATAATGTTTTTAGGTTTCCTAAACATTGTTTAAAAGAAATGTTTGTTTGAAAACATGTTTTTAATTTTTAAAACATGTTTTACAAAAATTATATTTGTTTGCTAACATGTTTTTCTAGGTTAAAACATTTTGTTGGGTAAAGATGTTTGTTTAAAGATAAGTTTATTTCTAGGTTTTTAAAACATTAATTTTTGTCTTAGAAAAGTTTAATTAGGTTTTATTCTTCTTAATTGTAAAAACAAAAACAAAGTCAAGCAGTCTGCGCCAAAGGATACGAATAAAATAAAATATTTTTCAAAAAATAAAAGAAAAATTTTTAAAAATTTATTTAAAAGATTTTCAACAACAGATGTTTTAACTTCAAAAAAAATTAATTCGAAAAATTTAATTATTGTTTACAATTAACTTTATAAAATTGTACAGGGTGTTTCAGATAAAAAGCACTATTTGAAAATTCAATAACTTTTTAGTGCTTGGACAAATTTTAATGAAATTTGGTATTTAATATCTATATTTTATGGCATTTTTTTTGACATAAAAATTATGTCTAAATTCGAACCCTAACCCTGTATTTCAATTTCGTTTCAATTTCGTACTCTACCGTTCTCTTTTTTCCCTCTTTTCATTGTGGGCTATCTTACTTCATTTATTTTCCTGTGTATGGCGAAGAGAAGATACTGTATTGAAAATGCAGTGTCTATCGCCTAGTGTTTACTCTAGTGTCTATCGACGCCCGTAACAAACAAAAGGGAGTAAGAATGCATGCGCGGAAAAAGGGAAAAACAGAACGGTAGAGTACAAAATTATCTCGGGTTAGGGTTCGAATTTAGACATAATTTTTATGTCAAAAAAATGCCATAAAATATAGATATTAAATACCAAATTTCATTAAAATTTGTCCAAGCACTAAAAAGTTATTGAATTTTCAAATAGTGCTTTTTATCTGAAACACCCTGTACTTTTTTCTTTACTAATTGCCAGGTGTATACTTTCTTTTATAAAAAAATATTTTTTAAACAAGAATGAATTAATTATTCAAAATGTTAAATTAAAGAGTGCAGATTTTCTATTAGATATTCTATTAGACGTTATTACCCAGAGTTACCGGTCCATAGGTTCCAAAAGGCAGAGCTAGGTACTTACGACACAGGTGACGTGACGCATAAAAAATCAGCATGAAAAATGAAGAAAATACTAATCCTCTTTTGCACAATTTTTCTTTACGTCAACAATCGACAGTCATCAAATACTAACTAAGGAAATCTAGCCTCCAGCCCATTCCGCCTTTTATAAAAGTTGAAATTTGAGCGTAGATATACCAGTAGGTTTACTGGTTTAGTTTTTTACCGTAACATTGTCAAAAGCTGTTAATCTCGCTGATTTTGGTATCATTGACTCGACCAATTCTTTTGAAATTTACCTATTCGAATTTTTCACACCAAAAATCATTTTATCCCCCTAATGTTTTTCAATTCTCAGGGGTCTCTATCTCGGCCAATATATGAGCCCGACGCTAAAATTTTGGTGTAATTCGACTCATCACGTCGATTCTCTTTCGAATAACACATTGTTTGTCCAAATCGAAATATGGGAAATTTAACGGGATTTTTCATAAATTTCTTTTAATTTTGCACAATTTTTGGCGTTCTGTTTATAATTTGATGATAATTGACATTTTATCCCATGCTATTTTGTTATTCCTTTCAATCCCTTCCTGTTTCTAAAATTAATTTATTTTAATATTTTTTCTTTATTTTTTAGATAAAAATTTTTAAAAAAATTCTTTATAAATCAAAAATGCCGTTGAAAGAAGTCGAACCAATTAAAGTTCCAGTTGGCGAGAAACCGAGTAAAATAAATGAAATGAATGACGTTTTTGCACAAATTAGCAATTTTGGAGATGGGAGGCTTTCTAAAATGGAAGTTGATTATTCTGCTGATACGGACAAGGCGATAGTTGAGGCCGATAAGAAACAAAAGGTAAAAATACAAAAAATTTTTTGACTGGTATTTGTTTAAAGGAGGGGATTTGGGAGAGTTTAAGGGTGGAGCGAGTCCTTTGGGATGTACACAAAGCTAGGCTTTAGGGTTGGGGGCCCGATCCGGCCCTGTCCGAAAGATCGAGTCGGGCATTGTATTGGCCCGAAAAAGACTCGGTCGGTCTGGCCCGGTAAAAATGAGGCACGAAAAAAAGACTCGAATGTCGCCCGACTCGAAAACCTAAACTCTACTAGGCTTCATTGATCTCATTTGCCGTTTTTGACCAGATTCTTGAGTCAAATAAATCAAGGAACTCGAAAAGTAAAATTTCGGTTTACCCCTTTTTTCTTCATTCCTCCATCTCCCTAGAAAATAAAAAGGAAGAAGTACTTTTTCGATATTTGAAAGGTTTGCCATTAGGTAATCGAGTGTTCTCTAAAATTAATTCTTCTTCTAGTCCGTGATCGTAGATAAACAAAATTTGACTCATATTCGGACTCAGCACACTTATTACCTACTGGTAAACCTCTACGATATTGAAAAGGCACTTCTCTTTGTTTTCTAGCGAGATGGAAAGATGATAAAAATGTGGTCATACAAACCGAAATTTTACCAAAATCCGTGACTTTAACTTGTCCAAGGAGATCAAGGTCTAGATCTAGATCAAGACATTGTTTTATTTTATACTCTCAAAAGACGTTAAGAAAATTTTACATATTTTGATAAACTGTTAAATCTTCCAGACTAGGACACGGATACTGATTTTGGTATCCGTGTCCAGTTACGGCGGATATAGACGGATATCCGAGGCATTTTTATGTTATCTGTATCCGTATCCATGTCCTAGTCTGGTATCTTCATTTTAATTTATAGGAGGGATCAACTCGTGAAGCTATTGAATTATTGCAACAACTTGAAAAGAAATCTCGTTTGGATTGTGACACAAAATCAAATGAACGTATTGTTCGTCATATGGTTAAATTGGCTTTTGATGCTAAACAATGGGATTTATTAAATGAAACAGTTAAAGCACTTTCAAAAAAGCGAGCTCTCATCAAGATGAATATGACTTACATGGTTTGAATTTTTTGGGGAAATTATTTTTTAGTATTTTTTTCTTTTCCCCATCTGTTTTTTTTGTTTGATTATACGATTTTTGGGTTTTCTGAATTTTTTCTGAGTTTTTTTTTGACATTGCTGACTTTCTTGTCAGTTTGTTATTATGTCTAGGGTCCTCGCTAGTGTTTCTCCGGAACCGCAAATTTGGTCGGAATTGGAATTGAAATTTTGACTGGAACCGGAACCAAAAAATCCCTAAACTTGCGGCCTACCGGAACCTCTGGCGAAGCTCTAGTCCTTGCCTGTTTGGTTTTTTCTTAGATCTCAGTTTTTTTTCTAATTTTCCTTATTTTTCCAACAAATATATCCATTTCTTATTAATTATTTTTATTAATTTTTAGATTCGGGATTGTATCGAAATGATAGAAAAGCTTCCAAATGAGAGCACAAAGGAAAGATTTATTAAAACTCTCAGGGCAGTTACTGCTGGGAAGGTTTGTTTGTCTTGTTTTAAATATTTATTTGTTGTTTTTGTAGATTTATGTCGAAGTGGAACGTGCTCGTTTAACAAAACGTGTTGTGAATAAATTGGAAGCAGAAGGAAAATTGGATGAAGCTTGTGAGATGATTATGGAAATGCAAGTGGAGACTTATGGATCTATGGAGATTACGGAAAAGGTTGTTTTAAAAGGGTTGTTTTAATTTTTAATTTTTTTATATTTTCCCTTAAATATTCGAACAACATTGGATTTTTATGAGACATTTAGTTTATGAATGTCTGATAGAGTAGAAGGGTTATTTGGCACTTTTTATGAGTTTGGGAAGGCCCGTAGCCGGGAAAGATTTCCACAGGGAAATCATACAGGCCTGTAGCCTGGGGTGGGGGCCTACGGCCTTTTAAACTTCTCAAAATTTGTGCTCAAAAATCAAAATTTCGGGGTTGAAAAATTTTCCCCCTTGGCCTCCCCCCGAAAAAAATCCTGGCTACGGGCCTGATCATATCCGTTGCGGAATTTCAGCCTCCGGACGCTAACCTGGCTACGGGTCTGGGTTTTACATTACGGAATTATACCACTGCAAGTTTTTATTGACTCCCAAATTTATTCTACATTCCTCAGAAAATGAATTTATAAAATTGTTTGTTTTTAAGGTCAAATTTCTGCTTCATCAAATGCGTCTATCAATTCAAAAAGAGCAATACACTCGTGCTACAATCATTTCGCGTAAAATTAGTGACAAATTTTTTGATCGTGAAGGAGATGAGGTTTTCTATTTTTGTTGATTTTATTTTTTAAATTTTAGATTGAATTGATGAAATTGGAGTTTTATAAATATATGATACAAATCGGGCTTAATGATGAGTCCTATTTGGATGTTTGTAAACATTTTCTATCTATTTTCAAAACGCCAAAATCTGCAGAAGATCCTCACACACATTTGGAGGTTTTTTGAAAATAATTTTTCTTTCTGTACGATATGTGCATTATAACTAGGGTTGTCGGTTCTGGACCGTTCCGAAGAACCGAGGATTTTTCGGTTCTTCGGTTTCGGATAACCGAAGAATTTCCAGGAACTGACAACCCTAATTATAACAATTCCAATTAGGTTAGAATATAATCTAAATTTTTTTAACTTCCTTCGGTTAAAGGAAGCAAGACAATTTTGATTTTTGACTTCTATAATTTTTTTACTCCGAAAACACGCTAACAATAGGTTACTCATTGTCAGATTTAACCATTAAAAATTTGGAATCATGGACGCCGTTTGGTTTGATCCAACTCATCGAAATGCATTCAAAAATATTAGGGCATTTGAGATTTAATTAGCCAAAGTATACTGCTATGCAAGGGCATAGCCAGGGGGCTTCTGGGGTTATAGCACTCCCCCTGAAATGGGGAAAATGAAAAAAATTTTAGGAGGGAAATGATCAGAAAGCACAGCACACCCCATTTTAGTCCCCCCTGAAATCGACCCCTGGATACGCCCTTGCTGTTATGTAGTTAGCCTTGGTTTAGTTTTCTTTAATTTGAATATTCTAGTAAAATATTTCTCTTTAAAGTTGTTGAAATGTATTGTTTTCTATCTACTTCTATCTCCGCATGATTGTGAAAAATGGGATTTATTGCAAAGAATAAAAGGAATGAGAGAATTGGAGAAATTGCCACAACATAAAGAATTGTTAAAATTATTTATTCGGCAAGAATTAATTTTTTGGAAAGAAACGATTGAAGGAGAGTATTCAGAAATTTTATTTGGTGAAAAGGCAACAGATGAAAAAATGGCTGTTGATGGAGTTGCTTCTTTGATGCCGAATTTGGAGGTTTTTTTAAATATGAGGGATTTTAGTTGGGCTCTTTAATATTTCCCATATGAATGAATTTTAACGAAATTATCGGGAGAAATAAACCAAGTGTCGGGAATTTTAGAAAATTTCCGAAACTCGGAATTTCGACTTTTTTCAATTTCGACTGCCCTTCCCTTTATGAATATTTCTTTTTTGATTTTTTAAAATCTCCCAAAGAAAACTTTAAACCCAAAATTTATTTTCAGGTCTTTCCAATGTCCAAACCTGAAGGTATTAAACGAAAGGAACGTCTTCATGATTGTGTTGGGGAACATAATGTTAGAATGATTTCTAAATATTACACTCGAATCAGTTTTCAACAAATGGCTAAACTTTTGGAATTTAATATTGAGGTTTTATTTGTAAAATAAAAATTAGTTTGGGATTCCCTTCTCGTGTTTCGAAAGAAACAGTTGGATCTGTTTTTACATACACCATTGGGATTGAAAATTCTATCTTCTAACGAGTTATACGTTAAATAGGGGTTTAAAAATCGCTTGGACATCTCTCCGCCCCGTGGCCATCCAAATTTTTAAAAATTTTAAATTAATGTCTGGTTGAAAGCACGTAGTTCCTCCTAGAGATTGGTATTTTTAAAAATCCTGGATCTTGAATTAGGTTAGTAACCTGGACAGGATTCTTTATCTGGATCCAGAAAAAATCCAGGACGATCAAATAATGCCTGGATCTGGACTCTGGATCCAGAAAAAATTCAGACTGGATCCAGACCAGGGGTGTGCGAGTTTCGCCTTTTTTTGTCTTTCGCCGTTCGCTTTTCAAAATCACTTTTGGCGCACCCCTGATCCAGACCTATCTCTAGTCCCCCCCCCCCCCCCCCCCGGAAATTTTTTATAGCTTCATGACTGTCTCCCTCTATAAAACTACTTAATTTTCTAGACTTTAAAAAAATTTTTTTAGCAAATGGAAACCTTTGTTTGTAAATTAATTGTTGAGGGTGTTATTCCAGATGCCAAAATTCACCGTCCTTCTCAAATTATTTATTTAAGTCCAAAACTTTCAACGGTTGAAATATTGGATCAGGTTTATTTTTTTTATTAAAGAAAAAAATTTTTTTCATCCTAGTGGGGTTCTAATATCCACAAATTGACTAGCACAATTAATAAAGTTGCACATTTAATTGTTAAAGAAGAGATGGTACATGGAATGGAAATTACACAAAAAGCTTGATAAATAAATTGAAGTGATTGGGATAAGGGGGAATAAAAAAATGACCGCTCATTTTTTTATTAAAATAAAAAAAATTGTTTAAAGAATTGAGTTTTTCTTTGGGTTTTTTATTTTAATGGCAAGGACTGCCTTAAATTTATTTTTTTTTTTTTTAAATTTTTGAACCTGATCAGTTCACAATTAACAAAAAATGGGGAGGGCTATCTTACCGCGAGCCCAACTCACCGCAGAGCTATAACTTCGTTTAGAAATGTCGAATCCGGAACGCCGTGGTTTGGTTCGATGCGCCTCGACGAGCTGAATCGAACCATACCAGGGCGTCCCGGATTCGACCATTCTGAAGGAAGTTATTGCTCTGCGGTAAGTTGGGGTGTACCCCAAAAAATGTTTTCGAAAAAAGCTGTAAATAAATAAATATAAACCCCGTTTTGATTAAAGACAGGAAATAGGTAAGATGATGGATGATAGTAAAATATTGAAAGAAATTTTTGAATCTGATCTTACGAACCTGATTTATAGATTGCGGGAAAAAGTTTTTTTTTGTGTTTTGTGTGTACCCTCAATTCTGAGTAAGGGTTGGGGGTCCAGTCCGAAAGATCGAACCGGTCTGATAAAAATGGGGCCCGAAAAAGACTCGGTCGGTTTGGGCCGATAAAAGTGAGGCAGGAAAAAATTACTCGAACGTCGGCCCTGTCCAAAACCCCAACCCTAATTTTGTGTATAATTTTTTTAGTCAAAGGAGCATTTAAATCGATGTTTACAAAATTTTTCTAAATAAATTTCATTTTGGACTATCCTTTTTCTAATCGCTGCTTTGCGTTTAAATGACCCTTAAACTGTCTAAATTCCACTAATAAATGAATGGGGGAGAAGGGATGGAATTTAATCGACTGTCGCTTGTTTTTCTTTTCAAAATGACGCTTGCTTTTTTTAGATTTTGCTGCAAGAGAGAGAGACATCTTTAAATTTGCTATAAATTATTTAAATGATAAATGGGGCTGTTCATTTTAATTAAATTTTTAATTAACAAAATTAGAATATGGTCCAAATAGGCGCGGCCAAGTAGGCGCAAAGCCATAACTTGCTTCAAAATTTCCGAATCTTTAAAAATTTAGTATTAAACGATTCCTCTGATCGAGCTAAAGAGATTGGTACCAAAAATGTTAAGGGCCGGAAATTTTCTAGCTAGGTCTGGCTTTACGCCTACTTGGCCGCGCGCCTAATTGGGCGTGTCCCACAAAATTCGTTGACCTTAAAAGAGAACCAAACAAAAATATGCACGTTACTAGAGCACGGGACGGGACGGGACCCCGTACGTGATTTTGCGGGATCCCGTCCCGGAATCCGGATTTTTAGCGACAAACGGGATTTACGGGATTAATCCCGCGGGATCCCGTCCCGTACGAAATTTTGAAAAAAATCACGTTCCGGGATCCCGGGAATGCGATTTTGCCAACCTCTACCCGTTACCCCTTTATTGCTTCAAGATTTTCTCTAGCTCGATCAGAGGAATCGTTTTTCCTTTTTCCTTCTTTTGAATTTTTTGGCCCCTTTATTGGACTCTCAAAATTTCATTGGACTTTTAAACTAGACCATAGCCTTAATCTTTTATTTTTCTCTTTTCATTTTATCAATTAGTTCCACATATAAACTGGTTTCTTCTCTTTTCCCCGTTTAATAGTGGAATTTATATCAGTTATAGATTAGAAGGGAAAGGTGCACTCGTGGTTTTTAAATTGGCCAAAACAAAAATAATTTTTCACACCTTTTAATTGTTTTTAATATTTGGGGGATTTTTTGAAGGATTTTATAAAAGAGATATTATAAGCGTGACTTTTCATCTGACATTTTTTCTGACATTTTAATTTTCATTTTTGATGTTCTAATTAATCAAGGGAAGGGCAGTGGTTTTTTGGGTACAGCCCAAAACGGCGCGAGGCCATAACGGCGCAAAGCCATAACCTGCTGGAAAATGACTGGCCCTTGTAAATTTTGGTACGAATCTCCTTAGCTCGATGAGAGGAATCGTTTGATACTAAATTCGTTAAGATTAGGAAATCTTGAAGCAAGGTATGGCTTTGCGACTTTATGGCCGCGCGCCGTTTTGGGCGTCCCTTTTTTGAATTTTTTTGGTTAATAATTTGGGATTTTCTTGTTTGCTTCTGTTATTTTTTTCTTTCATTCTAGCTCATTTTTTAATTAAAAAATTTTTTATTTTTTCAGAACAGTAAAATGGGTGAATGTCAAGTAGAAGGACCATGTACATCCCAAAACAATGTTGTTTCTAATACTATAAAACATATGACTGTGTCTGGAACGTATTCTGGTATTTATTTTAATATTTTAAAAATTTTTTAAATTTAAAATTAATTGGGGGAAGGTAAAGGATACATGAAAAATAATTTTTTGACATTTCTGGATTTTAAGGGGTTTGCTTATTTATATCCCTGTGCCAATCATTCCAAAAATAAAAATATTTTTAAATTAAAATTCCGGCCCCTTAACGGATAGTGTGTATTAATACCCTAAATATTCTAATAGAAGCCCGTCTCCAATAAAAGCCCATGCCCAATTATAGTAGAAGTCCACCCAATGGGACCCATTGAAAAATAGATGCCCAGGGTTTCTATTGGAACATATCAGATCCGTGGCTATTCAGATCTGTCAACTCTGTCCCTGACTAAAAAATTTTTACTTTAAATTTTTTTATCCAAGACGGGACTTTGATTTTGGTTATTTTTTACTTTCTTCCATTTTCCCTATTTAAATTCTAAAAATTAAACGGGTCTTAAATTTCACAAATTTTTCTTATTTTTTAAAATTATTTTGTTTTAGAAAATAAAAATTCTCCAAATAAGCCAATAATCACCTCAACATCTTCAAACAATAATTTTTCTTCTTTCTTCAAAAATTGCGATTTTTCCGATTTTCTTTTTGAACTTTCAATTTTCTGTATATTTATTGGAATTTTTCTTGCTGAATTGCTTTCTTGGAAGACTGCTTTATTTATTTACTTAATTATTCGTTTGAGCAGCAATGATTTGGCTAGACGCATTTTTGTTACAATTCCGAGGGATTTGAGGTTTGTGAATTTAAATTGGGGAATTTTAAGGAATTTTGGACACCTTTAGGCTCTCTTTTTGCTCTTTTTCGGTTTCGGACTTATAGTAGGTTTTGTGATAACAGAAATCAGTCCCTTTTGTTTTATTTTAGTTGTCAAATAGAAAATAGGGAATCCTTATTGATAATATGAATTAATACCGAAAATGTTCTAATAGATCCCCGGTTCCTTTAGAAGCCCACCCAATAGAATTCACCAAGGGATGCATAAAGATGTTCATGGGATTTTTTGGGATTTTAAAATTTGGTGCAAATGGTCTTCCACTATTTGCTAGCTTTTTGGTTAAATTTTCTGTTAATTAGCCATTTTTCAATGAATTCAAAAAACTCCTGGCAAGGGAACTACTCGAACTATTCATATAGAATTACCCCAAAATTTACTCCAAAAGTAGCTGAATTTCCCAGCAACGCCAAAAAATGTTATAGGCAAAATAATAACGGGTACCCAAGGTACCGCAGAGATGGAACTTCGTTCAGAATTGTCGAATCCGGGGCGTTCTGGTAGGGTTTGATGCGCCTTGACGAGATGCATCGAACCATACCAGACGTCCCGGATTCGACAATTTTGAACGAAGTTATAGCGCTGCGGTACCTTGGCCTGCTCCCACAATTATAGTTTTTGTTATCCTCATTTTCATTAGTCCAGATATTTATTCTCTCATTTTTGTTCCTAAAAATTAAAAAAAAATATTTTTTAGGGGTGTTTTATTAGTTATCCGTATCAAATTCGAAATGCGCCTTCGTCTTCATCGAAATAAACCTTTACACGAATATTTTGATAAAATTGTTGAACAAATGCCTAACAAGGAATGTTTGGTAGAAGTTGAAAGTGGAAGGAAAATGACTTTTTTGGAATTTGACCAGCATTCTAATAAATTTGCAAATTTTTTTCAGGTTTTTTGAATTTTTAAAAATTTTGATTTTTGACTTTTTTTGGGCTATTCAATGTTAAAATCCTTTCAATTAATTTACGGACTTGATTTTCTTTAAGAAAAATGTCGGAAATAGGATTTTCGACAGCTTTCAGTTTTGTGTTGAATTTTCAAAAATTCTCGGGTCGGGGTTAAAAGTCTTGGAAAAATTGCCTTTTACGTGCTCACTTTTTTATCTCTAACAATAAGTTTTTTCATATTAAATTGATCAAACTTTCCTTTCTTCCTTCCAAAACCGAATAGAAAAATCTTTTTTGATTTTTTGTTGGAAAAATACAAAAAAGGAATTGTCGAAGAGAAAGGAAGGAAAGTCTGACCTTTCTGTAGATTAATTGGGAAAAACAGGGATAAGGAAAGTGGCCCGTAAACGGCAATTTTGCCTAAGTTCCATGTAATCTGTTCGGGGGGGGGGGGGGGGGGTGGGGCAAGGGGAGAAAAGTTTTCTTCGTCGAATTTTTGGGAATTCCCTCTTGGCTACGGGCCTGATCTGTTTACATCCCTGGTTTAATAAATATAATTTCCTTATTTTAAAGAATTGCCATATTGGATTTGAAAGTGGTGATGTAATTTCTCTTTTTATGGAAAATGGAATTGATTTTTTCGCTTCGTGGTTTGGTCTTTCAAAAATTGGAATTATAACTGCTTGGATTAATACAAATTTAAAGTTGGAGCCTTTAGCTCATTCAATTAGAGTGGCAAATTGTAAAGCTATTTTAACTACGAGGACATTATTTCCAGGTTTTTTTAGTTATTTTTCGTCTAACGGGGTTTGAGCCTGGCACATTTTAAAAAGCGATAGGTATAAGAATTTGTAACAAAATAAGAAGCGGAAACGGAAGCCGAAAGCAAAAGCTTCAAAACAAGGGAAATTTTGCAGAGACAGAAGGCGACAGGAATCTGTCCCTGTTGTCTATCGACAGGCCTGTAGCCAATGGATTTCGCCTACGGCACAAAATGGAAGAAATTTGGCTTCTAGCCCTCTAAAATTCTCAAAATTTCTGTTTGCGGCGCTGAAAAAGTGAATTTTTCGGACTACGGCATTCTAAAGTTCGGCACTGAAAAAATTTCCTCTTTGCCCCCCCCCCCCCCTCCCCCCCTCCCTTCCCTAAAAAATCCTGGCTACGGGCCTGATATTCGGTTGTACAGCACAAAATTGATTCGACAATTTTATATTACTTTGTTTCAACTTTGCGGTAAATAGGCTTTCCCCTCCCCCATTCCTCCGCATTTCTAATATTAATTCACAAATTTAATCCTTAATTTTATAAAATTTAGTCCTTGAAAATGCTTTAAAGAAAGGTTTATTGCCATCAGATTTAACCTATTTTGTGTTAGAACGTGGATTACTTTTTGAATATAAATGGGTACGGAATGAATGTTTTATTAGAGAACATAGAATTGAAGAAATTGAAAAACCCAAAATTCCTTCAAATTTAAATTTTCAAAGTTTGGAATTTTTTATAAAATTAATTTTCTTTAAATTAAAATTTTAGGTATTCTTTGTTATATTTATACAAGTGGGACAACTGGAATTCCAAAGGCAGCAGTTATCAGGCATTTTAGGTTTTTTTAATTTTTTGGGGAAGTTTCCAAGGAATTTTTAAATAACGTAGTTGAGCCGGATAAAAGTTGCACTCACCAAACGTCGAAAACTTTGAAGCTCTATAACTTTCCGATTTAGAGGGTAGGGCCGAAAAATCAAAAAAATTTGGCAATAGGAAATTGACCCTGCTTTACGCGATGGTACAAAAATAATTACGAAATTTTTGGTGACAGTTCGGTATGGTTCCTTGTAAATATTAGATGACCTTCATTTAAGTAAGATGCATTTCTTAAGAGATGTTTGGTCACTAAGTGGAGGACCTGCTTAACTGACAGTCTATATTTAAGAAGATAAACCTCATTATGGGATGTAAATGCTCCCAGGGGCTTATTTCAACTGTCCGAAGATTCTGTATTCTGTGTACAGAACACAGAATCTGCGGACAATTTAAATAGGCCCCAGACCTGTTTTTTGTCCTCGATTGAAATTAAAAAAACTGCTCACAAGGAACCAAAAATTTTCAAATAAAAATTATACCATGTGTAGAGCATGCTCGAAAACCGATCGGTTTTCGACCATTTCATGTGGAAAAGCTTTTTTTTTTGGAAAATTTTCGGCATAGTTCACGGTGGTTCCTTGTTTATAAAAACAAAAAAATCTCAAAAAATGACAATTTTTTAAAGATATTTTATGATGACTTGTTCATGTGGAAAAGCATTTTGTATTAAACCAACAGATCGTTTCTATATAACTTTACCAATGTATCATTCTTCTGCTGGAATTTTGGCTACTGGGCAGGTTTTGACGAAAGGTTTTCTTTTTTTAATTTTTTTTGTATTCAAAAAAAATTTTTATTTTAAGGTTCTTCTGCTTGTATTCGCTCAAAATTTTCTGCTTCAAATTTTTGGCTAGGTTGTTTTTGAAAATATTTTTTTTTGTAATTTTTCAACAGATTGTAAACGCTTTGACTGTACAATTTCTCAATATATTGGGGAAATTTGTCGTTATCTTCTTTTACAGCCTTATATTCCAGAGGAAAGAACACACAAAATTCGGTTAATGTTTGGTTAGATTTTTTGGAGTAATTAGAGAATAATGATTATTTTTTAAAGGAAATGGTCTCCGTCCTCAAATTTGGGAACAATTTATTGCTAGATTTGGAATTGAAAGAATTGGAGAATTTTACGGTTTTTATTTTTACAAATTTAAATTTAAGGGTATAGGAGGCTATTTGTGGTTAAGGTGGGTAATTCTTTGTTAGGTAAGGGGTTGTATTATATAACGATTGATTGCCTTTCATGATCGGCTGTGAGGAAAAATTTTGCCCTTATTTTGTGATTAATTGTGAACAATTGATTAGTCTTTCTGAGCCGGTTGATTTTTTAAAAAAATTTGGAGTTTTTCGGGTACTTTTGTGAAGTAACATAATATTATCAGGGTGTCTTTTTTGCCTTATTTACGGGGCAATTGTCCTATTTTTTCCCTATTTTCTACTTTTGCCATATTTTTATTATTTAAGAATATTTTTATTTTTTTGACATTTTATAAGTAAAATGCAAATCTGTGTTGAAATATGTTACAATGCCTATTTTAAACCGATTTTGATAGAAATTAATATATTTTTTTATTTCAGGCAGCACAGAAGGTAATTCAAATATAATAAATGTTGATAACCATGTCGGTGCTTGTGGTTTTATGCCTTTATATATGACTTTTGTGAGTAGTTTATATCCTCTTCGTTTGTTGCGGGTTGATGAAAATGGACAGCTTTTACGTGATGAAAATGGATTTTGTATTAGATGCAAACCTGGGGAATCTGGAGAAATTGTTAGGTTTTTTATATTTGAATAGGTTTTGGGTGTTAAAAATTTTTAGTTTTCGGGTTAGAATTCAAGTACACTCTCACAGATCTAAATAAAAAAATTTTGAAATTAATAGAAATCTGACAAAAAGGGTTGACAATGAAACCAGTAGTCCTTTACTATATTAGGGTTGCCATTTTTGATTCGAATCGACGTTCGTTGCATTTTTTCGGGCGAATTTTTCGAGCTAACAATAAGATGGTGTTTCGAGTCTTGGTTCGTATGACCTGACATCCCTAGTCCTTATAAATTACACAGTATCGGTGCACCGAAACTTATTTTAAAACGCACTGAAAAAACGAAATTCTTTGAAAGATGAAGGGAACACCACTGATACACTGATAAAAAATTTTCCAGTTTCATTGTCAGAAGTGTATTTAAAATCAACTATTTAATTTTTATTTAATTCTTAATTCTTTTAGGGTGCCGCTGTCCATCCAAACAAACCTTTACTTCGTTTTGAAGGTTATGTAGATCGTTCAGCATCAAAAAGTAAATTGATTGAAAATTGTGATCGAAAAGGGGATACAGTCTTTGCTAGTGGCGATATTTTGTATTGGGATAAATATGGATATTTATATTTTAAGGTTTTTTTTGGAATTTTTTTATAATTTTTTACAATTTGTTTGTAGGACAGAAGAGGCGATACTTATCGTTGGAAAGGGGAAAATGTAAGTACAACAGAAATAGAAGGGTTACTTCATTCTGAACACCAATATATTGTTGATACGTCTGTTTATGGGGTTGAAGTACCTGGAAGAGAAGGACGTGCTGGGATGATTGCTATCGTATTGCAAGATGGAACTGATGTTGAGGTTAATTAAAAAAATTTGTTTAAAAAAGGTTTTTTTAAACGATAAATTGTGGTAATACTGCGCATGCTAAAAAGACCTGCCCTTTCGGACCTGATTTATTTTTGTAGTGAGGGACTGCTGTCAGTCCGGGAAATAATTTTAAATAGAGTTTATATATTTGGATCGGGTTGACGTTCTATCAATATTTTTTCGAACCCAAATTTATTGTGCAATAGTTTTTCCGAATTTCCTAAACTCACATATTTTTAGGATTGTGTGGGGTTAGCATGCTGGGTATGGCTCCGAGAGCTAGCTCCGAAGCTAAGATTTTAAAAGCTCGGAGCCGTAGTCATAGCAACCCTAATTTACTAAATAAATTTAAAAAAAAATTTTCTTTTAGGAATTTGCAAATAAATTGGCGGTAATATTTACTGAACAGCTTGCCTCTTATGCCATACCCGTATTTCTTCGATTTTGCGATGGAATTGAAAAAACTGGCACTTTTAAATTAAAAAAAGGGCAGCTACAAAATGAAGGTAATTTTTTCAAGGAATTTAAATAAAAATAAAATTTTAAAAGGTTTTGATTTGGAAAAATGTTGTGGTAATCGTTTATTTTATTGGGATACTTCTTTACAAAAATATAAAGAATTGTCTAAAGAAATACAAAAAGATATTGAATCGGGAAAGTTTTCGAGTATTTAAATTTAAAAAAGTGAAAATTTTTGTTTTGTGACCGGTTTTATAAAATTCTTTCGAATTTCCTTCTCTTTTAAAGAACCTAAGTGAATTAAATTTTCTGTAAAAATTTTTGAATTAAGTCGCCTTGCTATAAATCCACTCAATACTAGGTACCAGGGACAGACAGAAAACCAAATTCCTAATTTTCGGGAATCGTGAATCGGACCGGCGTGATCCCTGCTAGGTACATCATTTAAAATACGTTTTTTGTGTTTGGTTGGTTTGTCTAATGTAAGCTATATCCCCAAATTGATCAAACTCTATGACCTCGTTTCAGTCCCAAGGTTGTGTCTCATAGTGAGGTCATACATACTTTCTGACCTAACTATTACACTCTTGTGGCTAAAAAAATTTAATCTTAAATTGGGGTGTATATAAATATTTCTATCCAAAATTAGCTAAAAACAAATAAATTTATCTATTCCAAAAGGAAAGTAAACTTTTTATTTTATTTTACCGGTCACTAACTTTTTAAAAAAAATAATTGTATATGCATTTTTATGTTTTTTAAGATCCATAATCTCCCTATCTCTCTTATTACATAGACACAAAATTTTTAAAAAATCTTTTTTCAACGTCTATGCCATTTTTATTTTGCCTTCATTTTTTATTTATCTTTTTTATTAAACGATAAATTTTATTTTTGTTTTCTTTTTAATTTAAAAAGTTTGTTTTTATTAACACTTGATATTTTTAATTTATTTGTTTTACTTCTATTTAATTTATATGGAGTAATTGTTCAGGGATTGACATTTGTTAGTTAAGTGTTTTACAGGGTATTCTCATGGAATAGCCAGCCTTCCTTCTACAGGGAGTAGAAGTAAGGGGGAAGTTCTGGTGAAGCCTTCCACCACCACCGGCCCTCCATTACATCCTTTATGTTTTTTCCTATTTTAAGGGAAGTTGTGGTGAATTCAGCTATATGAAAGAAGAATGGTGCAAGTTTCGTTTTCCTATGATTTTCTAATATTTAGTTTCCCTAGCACATAGGCGTAAGTTAAGATCGACTATAAGCCTAGGTAACTCAACAGGAAATAACCTGAACTTGTGCCTATCAAAAACTGTCAGAAGGTCACATGTCCGATCTCGCCAGACTTTGCTTACCTTTTTAAAAATTTTAAGCTTAAATAATTTCTAGTAATTAAAATGTCATTTTCGCGTGGCCCACATACATTTCAAGTATCTACTAAATTATTTGAATTAAATAGACAACGTTTAGTGAATGAATTATTAAAAAATGTTGACCAAAATATTAAAGGAAATTATGTCCTATTAGAAGGTGGTTGTGAAAATACTCGTTATAATACTGATGCGGATGAAATTGCTTTTAGACAGGTTAAAATCGTAGCAGTTCAGTTCCCGTCCCTATAACTCATGAAGGGATGGTTACTTTTTCATCTTTTTTATACCATTGGATAGAGAATTAAAGGGTCTACAACATATCAAAAAATCAAAATTTTCGATCAATTGATAAAAAAGTTATGATCAAAAAACTAATTTTTTCAAAGAAAAATGTGATTTTTGGCACTTTATTGATCATAACTTTTTTATCAATAAATCCAAAATTTTGATTTTTTGGAATTTTGCACTTTGTTTAATTCTCTATCCAATGGTATCAAGAACACTAGAAATTATCCGCCCTTTCATAGATTATAGGTGGCGGGACTGAGTTGATAGTAGGTGTATCAGGTTAGAATTGCTGTTAGTTTTAGGGGGTTTCCAACATTCTAAAGCAAATCAAACCTTTAAAAAATTGAAAAAAATTATTTTTCCAACCATAATTCCCAAAAAAATAATTATTTTCTAATTTTGATAAGTTAAATAACAAATTGATTTTTTGGAAGGGTTTTATCTATTTTCGGGCTCATAAAATTAATAATTAATTAATAATTATTGTTATTTTATTAATTATTTAATTAAAAAATGTCCTTGAATACCCCCAAAAATCCTTTAAAAATAAATATTCAATTATTTGTTGAAAATAGACAACGTTTAATTAATAAATTAAAAAATAATTTTGGAGGGGAATTTCAAGAAGGAATTTTTGTTTTATTAAAAAGTGGAAAAGAAAAGACTAGATATAATACAGATTTTGGTGAAATTGTTTTTAGACAGGTTAAAGAAGGGGGAAATAAGGAATAGAAAGAGTTTAGCAAGAATTTAGCCACCGGGCAGGATTCGAACCTGCGACCTCCTCGTAGTTATCGCTAGGGGCTTTCGCTTACCACATAAAGAGAACTCTACCACTGACAAGGGAACATCGTTTACTGTCAGTGCGAATTTGACAATTTTTAGGTACCCTTTGATAGAGGATCAACCACTCCCAAGGACTGAAACTTTGAACGGCCATAACTCGGCCCAAAGTCATTTTGCAAAAAACGGATCACTTCCTCAATAGTAGGTCGAAGATCCTCTATCGAATGGTACCAAAAAAATTATCAAATTCGCACTGATGTAAACTCCCTTGTGAGCTACCAGGGCGCATCGACTAATGCCTTCTCTTTTATCCTTTTAGATCGTTTAAACCCCGCTTATGCTACGCTTACATAAAAATCGCGCGCGACACGCGACAGTCGCTAGGCGACATGTCGCCGGCGACAATCGCTAGTTGTGTGCTTACATAAAATCGGCGATTTCCGCAAAAGCGACTGTCGCAAAGCGACAAAACGCTATTTTTATGTAAGCACACAGCAGCGACGTCGCTAGGCGACATGTCGCCTAGCGACGTCGCAAATCGCGCGCGATTTTTATGTAAGCACAAAATTATTAGATTTTCTATCTTTTTCTTCTATATTTTCTTTATTTATTTATCTCTATTTTTCACGTTGGTGAAAGTCAGAGTACTGTAATGTATAGGACAATTCGTTGCCACTATTTTATTGTGGCTTTTATATTGTGGGTTTTTTTAAATTTTTCCATTGATATTAGAGTAGCACGAGGTCGAGGCCTCGCCGAGGCCGAGGTCCTCGGCGATTTTTCAACCTCGACCTCTTTTGCTGACCTCGGGCCTCGAAACCTCGTCTCGGTCCTCGCCCAGAACCTCGCCGAGGACCGAGGGTAAATATACACCCCTAAGAATTGCCTTTTTTGTAAAAATGGAAGAAATCTGGATTAAGGATTAAGGACTCACTTAATCTATAGATACATCACAAATAATACTGATTTATAAATGTTATTTAGTTATTATTATGTTAATTACTCCCTTAATAATGAAATTTCTAGGTAATTCCAAAATTTTGAAAAAATTTGATATTTGATCAAATATTTGATACTTTTGATCAAATTTTTTTCAAATATTTTCAAATATCAAATTATTTGATTTGATATTTGATTTTGCCGTTTGTCCGATCTCTACCCAACTATATGGGACGAGCCCTACTCATCAAGAAATGGTCACTTTTTCATGTTTTTGGTATCATTTGATAGAGAATCAAAAGCTCTACAACATATAAAAAATTCAGAATTTTTGACCGATTGATAAAAAGTTATGATAAAAATACTCGATAGCATACTGAAAATCTCAAAAATATCGAAAAAAAAGAATATTTTTTGCATAAAAGTATACCTTTTTCAAAATCAATTTTGACCCATAAGATTTAACTTTAAAAATATAAAATTTATATTGATCGATAGAGAATAAACTGAACTTTCAGAATTTTTTGAAATTTTGAAAATCGGATCAGAATTGATCGAGAAATAGCATGTCGCAAAATTGTGTCGCCAAAAATTCAAACATGTTTGAATCAAAAAAAGTGTCGCCGGCGACATGTCGCCGGCGGAAATCGCATTTTATGTAAGCACACGAAAAAGCGACAAAATCGCGCGCGACATGTCGCCGGCGGAAGTCGCGGTTTATGTAAGCACTCAAAAAAGCGACAAAGTCGCGCGCGACAAGTCGCCGGCGGAAGTCGCTTTTTATGTAAGCACGCAAAAAAAGCGACAAAATCGCCGGCGACTTTTCTCTCCTCTTTTTCCATTATCTTTTCTGTCGCGTGTCGCGCGCGATTTTTATGTAAGCGTAGCATTAAGCGTTTTAAATGCTGCTAGGTGAATCATCCTTACAGAATCCTCTGATTAAAAATTTTTCTTTCCTTTAAAGGAATCCTATTTTTTCTGGACTTTTGGTGTACACGAGCCTGGTTGTTATGGAGCTATTGACATTAATAGTGGAAAATCGTTTTTGTTTCCTCCCAAACTTGCGCCAGATTATGCAATATGGGATGGAAAGTTTGTTTTTTTGTTGTGTTTAAGTGGGAATTCTTAATATTTTGATAGAAAATCCCCAGATTTATCTTACATAGAGGGTGTCAACCAAATTTTAAGAAACGTACCTTAAATTGAGGTTGTCTTGTATTGAGTGTATCTTATAAGTTCAAATATATTTTGAGAAAGCTGATCGTTGAATTTTTTTAATTCAGGCTGAGTTTACTCTGTTTGGTTTAAGTAAAAACTCATGGGGTTTGCTAAAAGTTTTGCAATTTTAAGGAAAAAGAGTCAGAGTCGTTGAAGAATCTACGCCTGCTCTGGGCTAATCTAAACTGTTTAGGGATTGGGGAAAAAATTTGAGAAGTTAAATTATACTCAAAAAATAAAATATTTTTTTAGAATCCAAAACGAGCAATGGTTTTTGAATAAATACAAAGTTGATCAGGTTGTGTTCCATGAAAATGGAACAAAGATTATTGAAACATTAAATGCTTTTACTCCAATAAATAAATTATTGCTTTTGGTAGGGGAATTTTTGAGGGAAATTTTTATTATTTTTTAATTTTCAGCGAGCTGAGAATACTGACAGTGGAATTGGTAAAATTAGAAGAGATTAATTAGCTAGAAAAAATGTTAAAATCAAGTTCAAGCTGTACTTTCTGGAGATGATCATTCTCTGTACTGCTTGAACTTGATGAAAAAATTTTTTTAATTTTTTTGGCCTGGTTTGAGGAAATTAAAGACCAGTCTCCCTTCGGGTTAAAGGAGCCTGGTTTGAGAGAGTTAACTAGGTGATACCTTCTATTTAACGATACCTTCTATTTAACATACACCTCTATTTAATTTTTTGGGTGTTGTGATGAGGTCTTCCCTTAAAAAATTTTTTTTCTGTTTAAGTTCTCGAGCCTCCAACCAAAATCCCTGGATTGGACAAATTTGAGACTGATACAAAAATACTTTACCCAATAATTGCCGAATTGCGTGTAATAAAAACTGATTTGGAAATTGAGGTTTTGAAATACGCGTCAAAATGTGCAAATGAGGCACACAAAGAATTAATGCGCCATGTTAAGCCAAATATGTTTGAATATCAAATGGAAAGGTGAAAGAAGAAGTATTCTTGAAAATATTCTCCCACCAAAATTCGGGTTTCATCAAGTTCGAGCAGTTCAACCTGTAGATGAACATTATCTGAACTGCTTGAACTTGATGAATTAAAAAAATTTTTTAAATCCAAAATTTTTAAGCCTTTTCCGTCACATTTCCTATTATGGTGGAGGTTGTAGACATTTGGGGTATACTTGTATTGCAGCAACGGGATGTAATGCTGCTATTTTACATTATGGTATTTTGAGGGAAATTAAAGAAAAAATTTTTAAATTAAAAAAGGACATGCTGGTGCACCAAATGACCGCCAATTTAATGATGGGGATCTTTGCCTTTTTGATATGGGACCGGAATATAATTGTTATGGTAGGGGACAAAAGAAGAATTTTGAAAGTCAGATCTCACTTATAGGACACCCTTGGTGGGGCAAATTTAACCTTATAATTAGAGGGAGGCATACGAGGATGAGGAGGAGGGTATCGCTTTATCAAGGCTTCATTCACCCAGTGGCTAACCAAAATTTGAAAAATTTTAATTGTTTTTGGTATATGTATGTATTATATAATTCTAATATTTGGGTGTACTTTATCAGATCTCGCTTATAAGGGGAAAGATCTCGCTTGGTGGGGGAAAAATTCTTCCTTATAATGGGGAGGCATTGGAGGAGGAGGAGAGCATCGCTTTACCAAAGCTTCATTCACCAAATGGCTAACCAACTTGTTTTTGGTATGTATATGTATTTATAATTCTAATATTTGGGTGTATTACAGTGAGAGATCTGACTTATTTTAAAATAATGGATTTTAAAAAATGAAAAAAAATTTTTAAAGGTTCTGACGTTACTTGTACATTCCCTGCTAATGTTATTTAAATTTTAAAATTTTATAAAAATTATTTTTTAAGGGAAAATTTACTGAAAAACAAAAACTTATTTACAACGCTGTTTATAGAGCTAATCGAACAGTTTTAAAAGAAGCTAAACCTGGTAATTGAAGAAAAAAAATTTTTAATTTTAATTAAAAGGCATTCGTTGGACAGAAATGCATTTACTTGCAGAGAAAATAATTTTGGAAGATTTGCAGGCTGGGGGGTTATTAGTTGGTAAAGTAGAGGAAATGGTGGATAAAAGAATTGGGGCTATCTTTATGCCTCACGGATTGGGGCATTTTATGGTGTTTTTAAAATAATTTTAATTTAAATTATTTTTAAATTAAAGGGACTAGACATTCACGATGTTGGCGGATATTTGGGGGTATTTTTCAAATAAAAGACAAAACTTCATTATAAGTAGGGTTGGGGTTCGAGTAGGGCCAACGTTCGAGACTTTTTCGGGCCTCATTTTCGGACCAGACCGACTGATTGTGAGTCTAGTAAAGCAGCTGGGCTATAGCTATTTGTCTCCTTTAGCTAGTGCAAACGGTTAATCGGCGGCTGGGAGCAACCAGCATCTTCAGTTGACCGGATTGATGTGTTAGCAGTTACACCACGCCGCCTACTGCATAGCCTTAGGAATTAAATAGCTATATGGTTTAAGTCTTTTTCGGGCCAAAATTCGATGCTCGACCCGATCTTTCGGACCGGTCCCCCAACCCTAATTATAAGATACACTCAATACTAGAGACACCCACCACTAATTTAGGATACCTCTCTAAAAAATTGGGTGACCAATAGGGTGGTGAAGCTGTCTAAGCTTTACCCTCTATTTAATAAACACTTCATTACAAGGTACTATCTTTTCAGTCCAAAAAGTGTATCTTACATATAATGAAAGTTGACTTTATTTTATATTTCTTAATTTTACTTAAAGGATGCTTTACCCCGTTCGGATAAACCCGGATTAAAATCACTTAGAACAACTCGAATACTTAAAGAAAAAATGTGTATAACAATTGAACCTGGATGTTATTTTATTGATACGGTGATTAAATAATTTTTTATATTATTAATGGAGAGGTAAAAGTTTAGCCTAGGGCAGGTATTGATACAATCTCTTCCCGTTACAAAATATAAGTCAACGCTCGGAGTACATCGGAGTACATCGCAAACCGTGTACTCCACCACCTAAAATCTGTTTCGGCACACCCCTGGGTGTGCCGAAACAGATTTTAAAAAGCGAACAGCGAAAGTCAAATAAAGGCGAAAATCGGCGAAAGGCGAAACTGGCATATCCCTGGTGCACGGTTGTAAACTGGCAAACCGTGTACTCCACCTCTTATGTATGACTAGTTTGCTACGCCCGGAACAGGCAGTGGCAGGCTTGACCTTTGCCGAGTTACCCGAAACCCGGGTTTTTTCGACCCGAACCCTTCTCACACGAAAAATTTGAAAACCCGACCCGGCTTTTTCTCAGCCCAGCTCATTTCTGGTTCCCAACACCTGTTTGGGTACTAACAAGAAAAATACTAAAATTTAACAAATTATTTTCCAGTTATTGGACAAAGCCTTTGCTGACCCAGAATTGTCAAAATATTTGGTAAAAGAAAAAATTGAGGAATTTAGAGGATTTGGAGGGGTCAGAATTGAGGATGATATAATTATTTTGGCAAATGGGAATTTAAATATGAATGCAGAATTGCCTAGAACTGTGGGGGAAATTGAAGAATTTATGTCATTAAATAACAAAAATTGTTGTGGAAAATAATTAATTGGATAGGGAAAGGAAAGAAAATTTAATTTTAAAAAGACGGTAAATTATAATTCTAAATTCAGTTAAAACACTTTTTCAGTGAAAATAAAATTTTTAAAAATTATAAGTCTGTAAGCCTTTTGTTGAGTGTGTCTTATTAAACTTTAAAGCTGTACGCTATTCATACCAACTGAAGTATTACTCCCTTTTAGATTGTGAAAAGACCGTCCGGCTTGACAATCTCTTTATGAATTTTTACAATATCTCAGGTTTTAAAAATACGCAAGGGACACAAAGGAATGGTTTTATTACTTATAAAAAGGCGTAATACTTCGATTGGGCCACTTCTATTCATGTATCAGACTTCAGACGGTTTTTTTTTATTTTAATAGTTTTCTCTTCGAATGACCTAAAAATTTCCCTCTATCCCAAAAAAAGTTCCCATTTAAAAAAAATATTTTTCCAAAGTTTTACTTTCCAAAAACAAAAAAATATTTTTTAAATAAACCAAACAAACGATTAAAATCCCAAAAAATAATTTTTTTAATTGTTTTTTCCATTCCTCTTTAAGAGATCAAAAAATCCTTTTTAAGGTCATTGAATTCGTTCCATAGGCTCCTAAATTAAAAAAATAAAAAAAAATTAATTTAAAAAAATAAATTAAAAAATAACCATAATAACAATCGAATTTCCACGAATAACAACCATTCCAATACTTTGAGACTCCCCTGTCTAAAAAATAAAAAGAATGAATTCTTAAGTTAAAAATTTTTTTAGAATTTTTCTTTAAAATTGACAAAGTTCGGAACCTCTCAACTAGGGTTGTTGGGGGTTGTTAACAGGTACCCCCGGTTTTCGATTCGATTAACCAAACGCCAACAACTCCATTTTCGACTAACAACAGAAAAAGGAAACTTTTGTTTATATTACTTGCTTAATCAAGAACCTATGAGGATAAAATCGAAAATTTTGAGCCAAAAAAGATATGTCTGTATCGGAAATTGATGTCTAAAAGTCAGAAAAAAACACTTTTCGTTAAAGCCGTTAAAGACAGAGAGCCTAACAAGGTCTAGGGTTTCTCTATACCTAGAGCCCAGACTGCATTTTAGAACTCTTTTGAGGTCTTTTTTGAATATGCCATAGAGAAAGAAAGGAAAGGGGTAAATCCGACCATTCCCTTTTGTTTTGTCCATTGATTCTTACGGAAGGAAAAAATAAGGAAAAAACGTGGGGCAGCTTCAGAATTTCTGTCTTCAAAGACTACAGGCCTAGGATTCGACGGGGAAATCAGTGGATAAAACAAAAGGGAGATGAAGAATAACGTGTCCACAAATCACTTATTCCCTTCCCTCACCCACCCCCTTCTCAGTCCCCCTTTTTTAGTTAATTCCCCAACCCAAACAAACCTTCATATGCTCAATACAGTCCTCAACCACAATATTCATAAATGGATCGAATCCTCGCAAAACACCCGAGACATTCCTTAAAAAATTTTTTTTAAATTAAAAAAAATATTTAAAACCTATTTCCATTTAATTTAATATTGACTTGTTTGTCCATGTACTTCTTCAACTCGGGTGGATGTGTTTTACTCATTTTTTGAAATTGAAGATTTTAAATAAATTTAAAACAAGGTTTCTGAAATTATTTTTAATTAAATTACTCGTAAAACAAATTAAGAAACTTTTAAGAAACAACGCCAAAATTTAATTAAATTTTCTTTTTCTCTCTAACTGTCTCTCTTATTTTTCAACACTATTTCGCTAAAAATTATAAAAGTTGTCAAGGCCTTTTCATCGCCAATTTTCAGTGTCTTATGTTAAACATTTTGGCTAGAAGGTAAAATCGCATTCCCGGGATCCCGTAGCGGGATTTTTTTCAAAAATTTTTACGGGACAGGATCCCGGGGGATTAATCCCGTAATCCCGTTCGTCGCTTAAAATACGGGATTTCGGGACAGGATCCTGTAAACCCCGTACGGGATCCTGACCCGTGCCGACCTCTAATTTTAGCTAATTTATTTTTTAAAGATTTTTTCGTGCTTTTAAATATTTTCATAAAATTTTTTAAAAATTAGAATGGCCAATAATTGTTTGAGTAAGTTTGTTTTGAAATTATTTAAACGAAAATATTTTTTAGAAAAACCAAGCAAAAGGATTGGCTTCAGGAAAAAATTTAAAATTCAGAGAAAGGCTCGGGAGCATTCCAAAAAGCTCAAAAAGATTGACAAAAGTATTTTTTTATAAATATTTGGGTAATTCTTTGGTTTAGACGGGAGATCGAGCTGGGACTGGACCAAGGCTTGGAGTCTTTCCTGTACCCAGAGTCGAGGCCCAGGCATTTTTTGACCTTCCTGGGGTTTTCCTGGGCCTGTGTTTTTCCTGGACTAAAGGCCCAGGATCCGCCCAGATCAATAAATCAACCCGGAACCCAGGAAAAGGCCCAGGCTTTCCAAAAATCTCGATCTCTAGTTCAGACCCCCCTATTTATTATTCCTGTTTCCCTGACCATTTTGAGCCGTTTTGCTTGAAAAAAAGAACAGATGCCTTGAAGGGAAAAAATAGGGGTGTCTAATTTAGAGGTCGGCGCGGAAGGAAATTTTCCAGGATCCCGAAATCCCGGATTTTTTTGATTTTCGGGATCCAGGATTTTTAGTGATTAATCCCTTGGGGATCCCGTTCTGGCATCGGTTAAGAAAAAAACCCCGACTCGGGATCCCGGAAGTTCAATTTTGCCGGTCTCTAGTCTAAACCAATTTATTGAGATTTTTAAGTTAAAATTTTTTCAGAATCTGGAAGAAAAAACAAAAGAAAAGAAAAATTGTGTTCAATTCCCAATAAATGCCCATTCAAAATTGATTTAATCAAAGAAGCCAAAGAAATCCAAAAACAATTGAGAGAAGAAATTAAAGAAAAGAAATTAAAATTAAAAGAAATAAATAAAGTTTTGAAGAAGGAGGAAAATTTGGAAGAGAAAATTCCGATATTTACAAATTTGTTTAGAAAGGATTTGAAGGAAATTGAAGGAAATGAAAGGGTTGATAGGGACTTGAAGAAGGCGAGGAAGAAAATTAAAAGAATGAGGAAGAGAACAAGTTTGGATTTTAAATATTTTTTGAGGGGGGGGGGCTAACCCAAGGAACGCCAAGTCAAAAAACGACCAACTTATGGAATATTTTAAAAATCAAAATATTTAAAAAAAATCAGAATTTCTCAGAATTTTTTAATTCTGGTTTTTAAAGTATTCTAATTTTTTTTAATTCATATTTTTTAAAAATATTCAGATTTTCAAAAAAAATTCCGTTTTTTAAATATTCCGCGTTTTGGTCGTACCTTGATTTGTCTGTTCCGTGATTTGGAACCCTTCACCCATTTTTTTGGGTTTTTAAAAGGGGACGGGGGCTTAAAATATTTGGGGCCCTTTTCTTATGTTTATAAATTGAGTTGGCAAATTGGAATCCAACTGAAGAAACGACAAATTGGGAGTTCTTCTGGGGCTTAAGAGATAACAGAAAAATAAAGCAAAATTCACACCTCGTGATTTTTAATCATTATTTCGAGCCAAAAATTTTTCAAAAATATTTCCCTTTAATTAAATTTAAATTTTTTTAGACAAAGCAGCGGAGAAATTGGCTGATGACTTTTCTGTTGTTATGGAATTGTAATTGGAAAGACTTTTTTAATGAGCAAATTGTTATAGTTTTTATTGATATTGAGTATTTATTTTTTTAAATAAATTATTTTTAAATAATTTAAGAAATTTTTTTAATTTTTTAAAAAATTGTTTTTATATCAAAATTTATTTTTAAATTTTCTTTCCTGAATTTCCTAAAAATTTTTCAAGATTTTGTCTGATTTCAATGAAATCAGCCCGGTTTGACCTGTCGATTAATTTTTACCCGTGGCGGGTCTTTCAGCTCTTTTCCCTTCTATTGTCCGTTTTTTGCCCCGCCTCAGGGAAAAATTAACCGGGCGGCTAAATTATACGTTCATTCAGTTTTCAGAATTTTTTAAAAATTATCTAAATGGAATTAGCAACAATCCCACAAAATTCCTCAGCTATGAGCACAACAGGAACAAATGGTTCACCTCAACATAATCAAGAGAGCGGAAGTAGTGAACAAAATGATCAACAAAAGGAGAGAGTTGGAGGAAAAAAGAAGACTAAACGAAGGGTTTTTTATTTTTTAAATTTTTGGGGAAATTTTTGACTTTAGGGACACTAATTTTATTTTCTGTCTATTTTTCCTTTTAAATTGAATTAATCAAAGGATACTTTTTGGGAATTTAATCTGTTATTAATGTGCCAGGGGGCGCCAAAAATTTGTCGCGAATTGAAAACAACAGCCCCCTCCCTGAAACAAATCCAAAAATCCAGTTTTCAACAGTCCTGAATGTCAAGGGCGTAGCCAGAGGGGGGGGGGCTTCTGGGGTTATAGCCCCCCCCCCTGAAATGGGGAAAATGAAAAATTTTTAGGTGGGAAATGGTGAGAAAAGTGAATTTTTTACGCCTACAACCCCACCCCTGAAATCGACACCCTGGCTTCGCCCTTGCTGAATGTGACGGTCGAGCAAATATCCTCGAAGGACATGATTGTTTAGTTACTAGAAATAAAATAAAGGAAAAATAAGGAAGAAATAAATTTGGGCCCGGGAAAGCTCAAAATTCTGAATTTTTATTAAAATTTAAAATAATTTTTCTTAAAGCCAGTTTCAAGCGATTCAAAATTGTGTGAGTCAGCACAGCGCCAAAACCCTTCTAAAAGACGCCAAGATTCTTTAACAAGTGAAAAAATGATGGAAGAACAGGCTTTAAAATATGGAGCTTCCCACGTTATTCATTTATTTGTGCCAGGTTTTATTAAAAAATTTTTTTTGAAAAACAAATGATTTTTTAAGTATCTTTGTGTATGGCTGTTGTTATTTTGACAATGATGACTGTTGGGTATTATTCAAAGGCAGGGGAATATCTGTGAGTTTTAAGAGTAATTTGAAATTTAAATTGATTGCCGTTTCTCCTTGGCTATGTAAGTAGTGTCTTTTGATTTCCAAGAAGGTGTCTTTTAAAAATAGGCCTATTTACTGATAGTCTATGTGAAGTATATATAGACAGCCCCTAGTTCCGTAGTCGAAGTTTTTGGATGCCCTAATGCGCTACCTATTTATAAGAGCCTCAACATTCTGTCCTTTAACAATCAAAACGATTTATCTTCTGTTGTGTAATATCTTTTGATTCGAATAATACGGCATTTTGATTAGGTTTACCTAAGATTTTATTTAGTTAACAATTCACAAATATTTAAATAAGTTGTAGGCTTTAACTAGAAAAATTGAAAAAAAATTTTCTAAACTAACTTTAACATCACACTCAAATATTTTTTAAACTTAAACAATAAAAATAAATATTTTCCTCCAAATATTTTAAGTCCATACACTCCATTTCATGGAAAAACAACAGATGGGGCAGGAGAGATTTTGCTTCAATCTTTGGCTAATGCGGGGATATTACTTGTAGTTATTATTGTTATGACTGTAATTTTGATTGTATTATATAAATCTAAATGTTATAAGGTTTCTTTTTTAAATATTTTTTTAGAAAATTAATTTCCTTTTTAGATTATTCATGCTTGGCTAATGTTAAGTTCCTTGATGTTGCTCTCCATGTTTACTTTGTCTTTTATTGAGTAAATTAATTTTTTTTAATTTTAGTTCAAAAAATTCTTCCCCCCCCCCCCCCCCCCCCCAGAATTATTTTTTTTATTCGAAGGGGAGGGGGAATTGTCAAAAAAATAAATTCCATTATTAATATTCTAAAACCAACAATTAGTGGGTAAATGTCCGGTTAGTGTCCTACCTGTCCGCAAAGACGATTTTCCTTCCATTTTCTTGCATTTTTTTGCAAGGAGTGGCGCCCATTTTTCCTTATGTCTGGGTATGCCTTTTGGCACTAATTGCCGAAAAAACCATGAAAATGAAAGAAAAATGTGCACCCTCTTTGCGGACAGGTAGAACACCAACCGGGCATTTACCCAATTAGTGTCCAAATTTTTAATTTTTTTCAAATTTTTTAGAGAATTATTTCGCAACTACAACATTCCAATTGACTATATTACTCTTGGAATATTTCTTTGGAATTGTATGAATTTTATTTATTTTTGTTTATGTCTAACCGACTTTTCGGATATCCCTTGGGTTGGAAAAATCAGTATTTTATATTGGGGTAACTTTGAAGCCCTATAACTTTCCGATTATGGGGGTTAGGGCCAAAAAAGCCGAGTATAGGAATAGGCTATCGACCATGCTCTACACGATGGTATAATTATTTAAAAATTTTTGGTCACAGTTCAAAAGGTTCCCTTGTCAGAAGGCACACTAAGGAATTTTGGGAAGTGGTTCAAATTAAACTCATAATGGATTAAAATATCTTTCAAATATTCCTCCTCCCTCACTTAATTTTAAATTTCTGAAAAAATGATGTTCGACTGTCTAATAAAATTTAATACAAAGGGTGTGTTCTTGGCATGATTTGTATTCATTGGCAAGGACCTTTACTTCTCCAACAGGTTTTTTAAGACAATTTTTATTTAAATATTCTCTTATTTTTTTAAAGTTTTATTTGGTTTCTGTGTCTGCATTAATGGCTTTAATGTTTATTAAACATTTACCGGAATGGTCTGTTTGGTCTATTTTAGCTGTGCTTTCAATTTGGGATTTGGTTGCTGTTTTGTGTCCAAAAGGGCCTTTGAGGATTTTGGTGGAAACGGCACAGAAGAGAGATGAACCTATCTTTCCAGCTTTAATATATTCTTGTAAATTATTTTTAATATCTGTTTGTGACGGTAAACGGGAATAATTTTTTAAAAATTCTTAGGGAAACCCCACGCTCTTCTAGAATAGGCGGGGCGAAAATAATCCAGAAATTTGTGATAAATTATTATTATAGTTTTAGAGCCTAACGACCTTCCCCTCTTATAAATGTCTGGATCCAAAAATTTATGTGGTGATATTTTGTTATTTTTTTGGTTTTAGTGCCTTAACATTTCTGATTTTTATTCTTTCTTTTTCGTCAAAGTTTCCCTTCCCTTGATAATAATTTAAAATTAATTTTTTTAGCTGGTATTCTCTATATGTACACTTTAACGGGAATGGGACAAGTTAATAATGCTGTTGATTATGAAAATGAAGAAGAGGAAGAACAACAAAGAGAAGAAAATGAACAAGGACAACAATTACCAAGTACTTCAACTAGCAATAACAACAAAACTCGTACAAAACGTGAAGGTAGTGCAACATCTACAGATGGATTGTTAGAAAAAGATGAAAAAAATGAATCAATTAATAAAAGAGAAGAAAGTATTGGAGAACAGAGTACAAGTAGATCAAGAAGTGCTCCAGGTCGTCCAACATCATCCTCCAAAAGACAAAATGTCACAACATCTGGTAAAAATAAAAAAAACTTATGTACTTAAAATTTATTTTTGCTTAGTAAAAAACAAAAATCAGAAATTTTATTTTAACCCTATGAGAGATTTTCATTGTTTAGCATAGGGTTGTTGGCGATCAGTTATTAACCGGTACCCCCGGTTTTGAGTTTTAAGCAAATACCGGTTTTATTTTGGGGGAATTTTAAATAAAATCAGTCATTTACACAAATTTCCGGTTTTTAAAATTTTTTAAAAAGGTTATTTTTTGGCAAAAAATCAAAAATTCCGGGTTTAAAACCGGTCGCCAACAACTCTAGTTTAGCAATTCCTTCACTGACTAATCGTTTTTATGCTTACTTTAAGTGTTAGGCTGGAAGGAAACTGTCGGCCCCCTACTTTGTACTCTGTAATAAAAAATTGGAATTTTCCTAATTTTTTTAAAAGTTATTTTACTAAAATACTCAAAACTAACTAGTTTCTAAACAAATTTCAGACGATACAATTATCACAATTATTGGAAGCAGCAATGATGGGGCAGGAACTTCTTCGACCCAACCAACAACTAGTAAAGAAAGTGGTCGTTCTCCTCGACGTTCTCGTTCAGCACAAAATTTTGGTGGTGGAGAGGAAAATGATTTGGTTGAAGAACGTAAATAAATTTATAAAAAAAGGAAAAAAGTTTAAAAATATTTAGGTGGAGTTAAGCTTGGTTTGGGTGATTTTATTTTCTATAGCGTTTTGGTAGGAAAGGCTAGTAGTTATGGTGATTGGAATGTTACAATTGCTTGTTATGTCTCGATTCTTGTGGTCAGAATTTTTAATTTTAAATTTTTGGTGTAATGTTGAACTAAAAATATATTTTGGAACTTATTTACGTGAACTACATGCCCCATTTATTCGCAAAACACCCTATTATTGCCCCGTTTATTCGCCAATCAATCCATGTATTCGGTAGCCAACAATATGCCTATGTTACTGTATACAAAAACCAAGCGACCGCCCTACGACTATAGGGTAGAGATCGGACCAAACAAATATTTGTCGTTGGAAAATCAAATATTTGATCAAATTTTATTTGAAAAAATCCCAAGTTATCTCCATTAATCCAAAATTTTGAAAAAATTTGATATTCGATCAAATATTTGTTTGGTCACTTTCGGAAAAAAAACAAACATTTTCAGATACTTTCAAATATCAGATAGTTTGATTTGATATTTGATTTTTCCATTTGTCCGATCTCTTCTGTTTTAAAAATTTTTTTTCAAAATTAAAAACTATTTAAAAATTAAAATTTTTAAGGGCCTTGCTTTTACATTAATGCTCCTTGCATTGTTTCGTAAAGCTTTGCCAGCCTTGCCAATTTCTATTTTTGCTGGAATAACTTTCTTTTTTGGGACGCGATGGCTTATTACTCCATTAATGAAAGAAATTGCTTTACGACAATTAATACTTTAAAAAATTTTATTTTGTAAAAATATTTTTTATAAAATTTTGTTTTAATTTTTTGCTGCTTTAATAGGCATCGAGAATGATTTTATACTTACAAAAGCAAAATTATAAAAAGTTAATTGATAGAGTTATTCATTATCTGCTTACTTCATATTGTCTTACATTGGAGAGAAAAGAATGAATGAGTTGTTAAGAATTTAAAAAAGCAAAAAAAGCAGGCAAAAAAAGCGAAGAGAAAGTGGGCGGGTGGGTTTCTTAAGTATTAAAAAGTAGAGTAAAGTTGTTTACGGGGAAATTTGAACGGAGTGAATGTAGTAAGGACCAAATCCATCGGGAAAGGTTAGTTCGCGGGGATGATTTAAAATAAACTAAAAAGTGAACAAATCTAGTGAGTATATTTAGGAGAATAACATAAGGCAAATTAGGAAAATAGTTTAAAGAGCTGTGATTACCCGGGCTGTTCCATACTAGCAGACAGTAAATTTTTAATTTAAATTTGATAATTATCCGAATTTTGAAGTAATTAATGTTCCGAAACATTACCGGAAACATTTTATAAGTTTTGGTGTCTAAGGGATTATTTCATACCGTGGGGGTAAGGTATTATTTCTAAGGTATTATTTGAAATTTATCTAAGGTATTATTTCATACTACTTTTTTATTTAGGAGAATTTTTGAATTTTGTTCAAATAATGAGGTCCTCATTTCCTTTCCCACTTGTAAAGATTAAAAATGGGGAATAAGGAAAAAGCTAGTCTCGTTTAGGTGGTGGTTACCCGGACTGGCACTGTTTCGTTTGGAGTCTGGTAACTGGAAGGTTTTTTCCGAGTATAAAAAAGGGAAAAACGGTAAGATTTAAATCTAAATTAAATATTTTTGTTAGCACAGACCCTTGCCTTGTAGTTTATTAACAGTCTCCATCCTTTATTTAAAGCTATCCCAAAACGAGTATTAGATTAAAAAATTAAAACGCTTTTTATGTAAGCACTAGAGCTGTCCGAGACCGAAATTTTTCCAAGACTCAAGACTCAAGACCCAAGACAAAATTTTTTCCAAGACCAAGACACAAGACCAAGACCAAAACTCCAAGACTCAAGACCAAAAATCAAGACCAAATTTTTAAATCCCATAGGTCAAATTTTCGGTTTATTTTTTGTTATTTTGATACGATCAGTCAACTTCAGCACAATTATCTATAATTTCGAAAAATTTATGCGAAATTCAAAGAATTTCGGGGAATTTATTCGTGTGGAAAATCAATAAAATAGGTTATTATTTCAGAGGATTTGGGTGGATTAACGGGATATTAGTGATATCAAAGGATTAAGAGGGATTGCCGTGGGATTTAGTGAATTATGAGGGATGTCGTGGGATTTTACGTCTGGAACGCCAAGGTAAAGCCAAAATTTTGGTGATACCCAACGTTAGCCCCCCCCCCCATTCGAAATCGACCCCCTGGCTACGCCCTTGGATTAAGGAGGATATCGAGGTTTAAAGGGGAATTTAAGTGGATTAAGAGGGATCAAAAGGAATAGTATGAAATTGGAGGACCAGGGTGATTAGGTGATGGTGGCTGCTGATATCCATCCTCTATTTTATCCCTATCTTTTTGCGCGCATGCGAAAATTTGTACAACTTTGGAAGGCCAAGAAGCCAGAATTCTTCATTTTCCAGCGCCGCAGGCGAAAACTTTGGGAATTATGAAGGCCGAGAAGCCAAAAATCTTCCTTTTCCTGCGCCGCAGGCAAAAATTTAGAGAATTTTGGAAGGCCGTATGCCAAAAAAATTCATTTTTTCGGCGCCGCAGGCGAAAATTTTTTGAATTTTGGGACTCAAGAAGCCAGATTTCTTCCATTTTCTGCGCCGCAGGCGAAAATTGTGAGGATTTTGGATGGCCAAGCACTAGGTCCAAAAAGGCCAAAAAACCAAGACCAAAAAATAAAACCAAGACAAGACCAAGACAAACACTCCAAGACCAAGACCAAGACCAAGACCGAAAAAAAACCAAGAAAAGTCTTGGTTCCAAGACCAAGACCAAGAGTCTCGGACAGCTCTAGTAAGCACGGCATTAAAAAGGAAAATTATTTTTAAAATTATTTTTACTTTTATTTAAGTCTTGATAAATTTTAATTTAATTTTTAACCCTTTTAAATTTTAATTTAATTTTTAATTAAAAGAGAGCCTGCCTGACTGCTTGCCCTTCATTCTCAATTCTAAATTTTGTACCTTAGTATTTTGTACCTTTATTTCATCATCACCAATAAATTTAATGTTTAAAAATTAAAAAATGTTTTATTCAATTCTTATTTTTCTTTTAATTCAATCACTTAATTATTCTTGAAAAACAGAAAATAAAATCTAATAATAATTAAGTTACGTACATAGTACATATAATAATCCCGTTATAACGAAATTGGACGAAATATGGAAAATATGGATTGATAACTTAAAAACGGCCTTATCAACATATGTTAAAATTATGTTTTTTGAACGTTTCAGAACCCAACTAGGCCAGGAAAATAAGGAAATCCATATAAATCCGTTCCCTACTTATTAACTAGGCGTCTAACGTGCGAACCATTATACATTTAAATAATTAAAATTAATTGATAAACAAAATTTAGATATATTTAAATGTATTTTAAAAAAATTTTACTCCCGATAACTCTGCCAATTTTGGCAATTTTCACGGTTTATTTACCCAAAAAAGTATTCAGCCAACATTACATTATCGAACATGAGTTTGACCGGAACGTGAATGTTCCTTATGTTAAATTGGTAAAAATTAATTTAGATGAAGAAAGTGAAGGAAATTCAAGAGGAAGAATAGTTGGGATAAAAAAATTGAAAATCGAAGTTGAAATCCCAGAGAATATAGAGTTAGGGAAAGTCCATATGGAAGCAAGAAATAGATATTTTAATCCTGGTTCTTTTCGTTACCATAGCACAATTTATAATCCAGAAGGAAAAATAACACTCAAAGAAAATTTTATGAATGAATTTAAAGAAGGAATATTTATTAAAGATAATCATAGAGTAAGTTTGGAACGATTTAGTTAACATTTTAGTAAAGTTTACAGTGTAAATACTAGTGCTTCACCGGTAGTTCCGGTTCCGGGACCAAAAAAAGTTCCGGATACTGTTCAGGGATCCGGAACTCAAATGGGATGCGGTTCCGGTATAACCCTAGTAAATATTTTAGAAAATAAAATACTTGATTAATGGGGTACACCCCGATGTACCACTGAGCCCATTGTACTGCCGAGCTATAACTCCGTTCAAAACAATGGGCTCGCGGTACGCTGGCCTGCTCCCTGATTAATGTTATTTGAAAGTATACGGTATTCTCATTTTTAGTTATCCATTTTATTTTTATAAAAAGTAAAAATGACTTAGCATTTAGAAATTTCGTATAAATTTGTTCGTTTTCAGAAAATAATGAGAATTCTGCCTATTTTCAACGATATAATTTCGATAACATATAATGATATTGAAGATTCAAAAGAATATATTCGGCATAAAGTAAATTTTAATTAAATTAATCAATATGGTAAGCTGGGGGTTCTTCTCAAACATCCTTCCTAATCTGGGTTTCGAGCTTCTGGGGTGGACCCCATCGAAAAAATTTCATATTCCAGAAGGTCGACACCCTAGTGGTCGCTGACACAGAAAGTCGACCTGAGATATTTGGGCGGATAAAGGGTATTCGAGATTAAAAATACGTTAGTCTGCTCGCTTTTGATTTATCTGACAGTTGCACGAGAAAATTACCGTCTTTTACCCTTTAATCCTCCTTAATCCCACCAAATCCCGCATAATCCGCACTAATCCTTCTTTATCCGCATTAATTCTAAGACATCCTTCCTAATCTGCACGAATACCCTTTATCCGCCCAAATATCTGAGGTCAACCTTCTGGGTTGATCTCTTTCGATGCCACTAACCATCTTGTAAATTTTAAGTGAAAGGAAAAAAAGGAATATGTATGAAAAAAAGGAAATGAGGGGTTTGATAAAAGGAAAATACTTTTTTGGAACTATATGTTTAGAATTTCTGGGCCGGATTTTTTGGATACGATTTTTTATTTAATATCCAAACTAGATATTCGATATTAAGCAGCTTTAATTTTAACTAGTTTTTATTTATTATTAAAATTTTTAAAGAATTTGGAACGTTTCATTCAACGAGTTTTTGGAGCTATTAACGGAGAATATGGCAGTAGAGCGTTGGGAAACGAGTTAGCCGTGCTTGAAAGAAATCAAATTAAAAAAATAAATGTAAACGGAATAAATTCAATTCTTTTTTTAAATAAAAATATGGAGTATTTCAAATTAATAAATTTATTTATTTGTACAAAATTGGGTGAACCTTGCTTGGCAAACAAAAATAAAATGAAGAAGAAAATTTCAAATAAAAGTCTAAAAAAGAAATTGACCCCAAACTTTGAAATTTGTTTAAAATTTGAAAAAATAGGCAAATATATAATTGAATTATTTGCAACGAATGATTATAAATTATATGGGCCAAGTAGATTTAAAATTTTTGTTAATATTGACAAAATTGAAGAGACAAAATGCGTTGAACATGAGATAAATAATACGGATCAGGAAGGATTAAAAATTATAAAAAATTTGAAAAAAGGTCTGGCCATAAGAATTTATGAAGATCTTGGAGATAGTACAAACGAGACAATAAAAATTGTCAATATTGATATGGAATTGAATAGAAATATGCATGAAAATTTTATTGAAATTCAGCCCTTATTTGAAGAGGAAAGCTTTGAAATGATTGTAGATACTGTAGAATATTGAATGACCTGTACAAAAAAATACACAAAAACACAAAAACAAGGAAAAATCCACAAAAAAAAAGCACAAGAAAAGAAAAAACACAAAAAAAACACAAAAAACACAACAAAACACAAAAAACAAAAAAAAACACACAAAAAACACAAAAAACAAAATACAAAAATACAAAAAAACACACAAAAACACACAAAAACACAACAAAACACAAAAACACACAAAAAATGACGCAAAATACTAAAAAACACAAAATACTATGTATTATATCAAATGTATTATATTAAATGTATTATATTAAAATGTATAAAGTGTACATAGAAAAAGCTTTTTATTTTCAAGTAAATCAGTAGTTAGTCATACGAACTTATTCCATTTTTTACCGCACTTTCCTAAAGGTTTAGGCTTGTCTGGGTGCCCCGCCCCTTTTTCTTTAATTTTTGCCGCCGAACCTATGCCTGTGGGAGGGGTCTGTAAATTGTTCAAAGGGATTTGAAGGGGTCTGGGGGAGGGGTCCGAAAAATACAAGGGGGTTTCCTTTGATCTTGCCGACAAATTCCAAGGTGTGAAATTTCACACCTTTTTGTTTTTTTGATCTTGCCGACAAGCACAACTTATTCCATTTCTTACCGCACTGGGAGTACGGTAAATCGTCAAGGTGTGAAATTTTACACCTTTTTTTCTTTGATCTTGCCGACGAAACCAATTTGTTCAAAGGTGTCGGGGGAAGGGTCCGACGAATTCAAAAATTGACAAACTTAAGGGATTAATTTTCACACTTATTAACTCTTGACCGTTAAAAAATTAATAAGAAATTTAAAACAAACAAAATTATTTATTTAAGTTTTATTTAAGTGAAAATTAAAAACATTGTTTCATGAATTTTGATTAATGAATTTTCATGAATTTTGATAAATTGATTAAAAATTAAACCAATTTTTTTGATTTTTCAAAATTTTGGTTTTAAATAAACTTCGAAAAATGTTTTGATATAAAAACTGGTTTTTTTTCATTTATAAAATGAATAAATATTAAAAATGAAATGAATAAATATTGGGGAAAAATTCAAAAAGATTATTAATTAATTAAAAAAAAATTTTTTTCAAAATATTAAAAAATTTTTCAAAATTTTTTTTCAGTATGGTAAAAAAATTTTTTTTTCGAAATAATCGGAAATTTTTTAAAATTTCTTCAAAAAGTTTTTTTTCAAAATAATAAAAAAAATTTTTTAATAATTGAAAAATTGTTGGTTTTAATTAAAAAAATATTAATTTAAAGAAAAAATATTTTTAAAATTTAAAAAAAAAGAATTGTTGGTGGTGTTAGAAAAGAAATTATTTTATTAAAAAGGATTTTTTAATAATTAAGAGAAAAAATAATTCAAAAAATTAATTCAAAAAAAAATTAATTTCGAAAAATTCTTTAAAATTCACTCTCCTCATGTTCTTCTTTGACGTTTTTATAGAGATACCCACATTTTGTAATATCAAAAGAATGTAGTTTAACTTTGTATCGTATATCATTTACATCTCAAATTTAGAAAAAATTTTTATAAAAATAATATTTAATAAAATTTTTAATTAAAAAAATTTTCATGTATAAATAAAATTTTTTTATAAAAATATAAAAATTTTTTTAAAAAACCTGTATAGAAAAATTTTTCTAATTTTCTAAAAATTTTAATTCAAAAAATGTTTTTAAAATTAAAAATGTTTTTAAAATTTTAAAATTCACTTAATTCAAAAAATTTTTAATATTATAAAATTTTTAATATTTGAAAATTTTAAGGTTACTACTTGTATCTAAATTATTGAGGATATTAAATATGTGCATGATATCTTCATGGAAGATTATGTGTTGTAATCTTCAAAGTAAAAGGGGCGGGGCACCCAGACAAGCCTAGACCTTTAGGAAAGTGCGGTAAATAATGGAATAAGTTCGTATGACTAACTACTTAAATCTCCTTTATATTTTTTAATCTTCTACAATCACTTTAAAAAACTTAACAAACACTATTGAATAAAACTTTTGTTATAAATTGGAATAAAAATTATTTATTTTTATTTTATTCTATGGAATTGAATAAATTATTATTCAATTAAATAATTTTGATATTTGAATTAATTTAATTAATTCAATATTATTCTTTATTGTTGCTAAAAAGAAACTGAAGAACTCGAATTTTTACAACTACTAATATTAAATAACTACTATAAAAACAAACACTTTTACTAATTCTACGACTACTTTTTGTTTTCTTTCTTGCTTAATTCTCTTTCCATTTATTTTTCTCTTGGTGGCTCATAGCTTGGGGTTGCATTTGGTCCATTTCTCTTTTCGCCTCGACTCATATTATAAGAAAAGTGGTTGTCTGTTGAGTAAAATTGAAAAAGTGGCTGTGTGTTTGTGAATTGTAAAATAAAGTGGTTGTTTGCACAGGAAATGGAAAGGAGAAATGTATAGGAAATAAATAATTCTCGACGTAGCAGATTTCAAGTCCTTCCGTGTTTCTTGATGCCCTTTTATTTAAATTCTTAGCATCCAATCAACTTGATTATGGTACAATCGGAAGACTCAAATGTGCTACTTTGATTTTTAACCGTTTTAAATCGATTTCTGTTCATTTAAATTGGCTAGGGATCTATAAATTTTTGAGTGTGGCCGAAGGTTCGAGAGTTCTCGCCGAGATTATAGCGGTTTTTGGTTTAAATCACGAAGGACAAGCATGAATTCATCTGAGAATAAATTCTCTGCTGAAAATAAGAAATTCGCTTTAATCTCGATGAAAAGAGAAAAAAATTTGATAATAATGTAGCCTTTTGGCTGTGTTGGTGAAGTGAAAAGTTGAGATTTTGTGTTGAGACGAAGCGTCCTCGTTGAAGGATATGAATTTTATGCCAATTCATTGCTGAATTGGCAAGATGAGCATTCGGTCAGTTCGAAGCAAACTTTTGAGTGCTCGTAAAGTCAGCAAGTGACCCGAGATTGGTTGTGAGACCAAATCTGTCTCGCCTCGTGTGTCCTTCTGGCGCCGACGATGTTCGAGTACGTATTTATGAGCTATCGCTTTTTTGGGTAAGATTTGATTTCTTCGGAATTCGGTAGTGAATCTTACCTGAATTTACGAGATATCTGGTTGATCCTGCCTGAACTGATGTGTTCATTTCAAAGATTAAGCCATGCATGTATAAGTTTAATCGTTTTAGCGAGAAACCGCGAACGGCTCATTACAATGGCCATGATTTACTTGATCTTGATTATCTAAATGGATAACTGTGGAAAAG